CCAAATGTAATTAATGGTTCAACCAGGCTGAAATAAAAATACAGCATTTGCACAGTGAAATCCCAGAGACTGCAATTTTCCTTGCGTGGGTTCAAGACTTGTTTCAGATCTCTGGCAGCTGTTTCATTGTTTAAGCTTCTTAAGAATTTCCTTTTTTTTTTTTTTCCCAAGCTCTTAGGACCCATAGAAAATTTTACTTCAGGGAACTTTATAGTTTACACTAATATCTGATCTCCTAAGTATTCAAATTGAGCTGGTCTGTTTCTATCTTGCTTTGGTGGGTATCTTTGTATAGTTGAAGCTGATATATATATCAGCAGCTTTTATTCCACCAGCCAAGTGCAAAGTTACTACTTTTCAGATATTTTCTTGCATTATTTGGAAGCTATCATCTCAAGAATACAAAAATGGAGACTTTTGTCCACTTTCATATATCAGCACTACCAGAGAACTGTACATGAATTATAAATTTCCCTTATCTTTTGGAAGAAAACATTATGAAAAAGGTGATGTTAGACAGGTCCCTGGAATAGCTACAGACCTTTTGAGACTGAATACTCACAGAGCTAATAGGCAGAAAGAATTATACAGAGAGGACAGTGGGACCACTGCCCTTTAAAAACAACAATACAAAATCTCATCCTGGAAAAGGAGGTTTCAATGGCTTCTGCTGTGGAGGAAATCAGTGTGGCAACAAGAAAACATTTTTGAAATTATATAGCCTCAGTATTCAGAAAAAAAGGAGATTGAAACCAAGAGAACTGGAGAGAATATAAAGCTTTCCAGGGCCAGCTTCTCTTTGTTGATTTAATTCCAGTATGTTTTCTCCCTCTCTGAAACTAAAATTTAAGTCGTTTTTACTTATTCTCCCTCTACCTAAAGATCTAGACAGCCACCAGATGTCTATCTCTACACTTGCAGGGACACCTCAGGACATTGGTATTTGAGACCTGGTTTAGGACTGTCAGCCTGAGAACAGATGGTTCTTGGGAAAAATGCAGTGTAGTGGGGTCTGCACTATGGATTTGGATTTCCTTGTTTGTACCAAACTCATCTGAGGTTCACAGGCTGGTTACTCAATCAGAGACTGTTTCAAACTGTGTGTGTGATGGAGCTTACAGCATTTACAGCAGAGTTTTGAGCAGAATTAGAAACTGGTTGCAAGAATCTTCTAGCACTTAGGGTTTGGGGTAGGAAAGGAAAGGGCAAATGTGGACAGGATGAGAAAGGAAGCTAAAAACTGCAGGAAATCTTCCCTTGCCAGCTTTGGGCAGATGACTTGGTGAGGTGATGATCAGGTTGTTCCTTAGTCACAGGCACAGTCAGCACATCTGACATCCACTGCTGATTCACTCCATAACATGACTGATTTAAGGGCAATATTTGTAATTAAAAAAATAAAATAGAGTCAGTATAAGATTACCATGGTGGTGAATTGCCATTTTCAGCTGCCTTACTGCATTTCTGTGAAATGTTTTGCCTCTTCTCAGCCACGTTCTGAGTTGGGCTCTGCAGTTGAGTGCTTGGTGTAATGCAGACTTCAGCAGGGCAAATATCTGCATTTGCTTTTGCTTTTTTTTTCCTTTGGATGCATCTTGAAATGAGGCTTGGGATTACCTTTGGTGTTTCAGAAGCTGAATATTTTCAAAGAACCATTATTTTGTTGACCTAATTTATCTGTACAATTCATCTGCAGAAACATAAATTTCAGGGATTTATAGAAAATGAATGCTTAGCACCTCATACTAAGTATATATGTGTATATTCATGCATAAAAATTTCCTAATTTCTAAATTAATCCTTTTTTGTTTGACACACAGAGTTAAGAACTCACTTTTAAGAGGTGTTTTCTGGATGCTGAGGGATTGACATGATTTATAGGGAAACCTAAAACATTTGCTAGCATTAGACCCGTGGTCTTTTAATATCCATCCCATTGCCAAAGTGTCTGCACATGTAAATATCTATAAAAAGATGCAAATACTTTCCCACTGCCAGTCCTTAGGGGATTTTTAGCAGTAATACAGAATGTGCAGGTTGTTAAAATGTATTTTCTGCTTATGCATGAGTAGATTGAAGTCAGGGTGGCTGGCGCGTGCTTTACTTTCAAGAATTACTAGAAAGGTTTTTTTACACTTTAATTATCTCTCAAAGAGGTGTGACTGGTATTCAGGAATCCTTCCAACATTTTGGTTCCCATGAAGACATTTTTTTGTAGGTTGAAGTCGTGAGAGACTATGAGAAGAAGGAAGAACCCTGAATTGTGCTATAAATTAAGAAACTTTATGTGAAATTATGTATTTTCTGATTACCTTGTTCAGATATATATTGAGCAAAAGAGCAAATACAAGTTGGAGAAATGTCAGATAAACAAACCCTGACATCTGTAGAATTTTTATGGTCTGACTTATCTCAAACACTGATTTCACTCAGTCATCCTTCATTCTTTATATCTACATGTCTAGTGGCACATGCATTTATATTTTATATAAAGGGCAGAGTCTAGTCAGAGCATTTGAGTTAGGCTGTTAAAAATAAATTAAGGAACAGCAGGTGAAAATGATTCCTCCACATGAATATTCAAAGTTTACCTCAGCCAGATACTGTAGAAAGAATAATAAAGAGCAAAGAAACTTTGATGGGACCAAGGCATGGAGACGATCAGAAATTAAAGTTTTATTGGCACCAGCTTGAGATGACTCAGAAAACATACTCAGGAGTGGCAGGATCTGCCTGTACCCCTCATTGCCAGATTATCCAGGATGTTGGAAATCCAGCAGCTGATCCCGTGGTCCTGATTCTTTCACTCTGGGGCTTCAGTGTGAGCAGAGTGGGTTTGGAGGTGGCAGGAGGGTGTAGGGGCCATGGAGCTGAATTCAAAGCTGGGAGATCTGAATTCATTCCTTCCCCAGGGGCCATTTCCTGTGTGTTTGCATCACTTAGGGCTGGATTCACCAGGGTCATTAAGCACTGCCAAGCAGGCCATCAGCTACTATTATTTTTATTTTTTTTTTCTTTGTAAGAATGAAGAAAGCACAACTTCCCCACCCCTCACCTGATGGAATCTTATGGGAATAAATCACATGGAACACCATTTTCTTCATCGTGGAAAAAAGCCATTCTTTATTCACATAACTCCTTTTTATAACAGTTTTGCAGACCTCATGTGTGACTCCAATTGGTCAGGAGCTTGCTTGCCAATTACTTTACTGGTTTGTAACAGGTTGTTATCCTGTATTGATTGGTCACTCAAGCTCTCATTGTGTACATGCAGGGAAAGTTGTTTGTGAGAGTTAGTTTTCATTTTTCTAACAGTATAAAAACAGTTTCTACAGGTGCTGGTTGTTTTTCACCCAGGGATAGATTGTTATGTTAATGAACTGCTCACACCAGGATTGCTTTCACATGGGAACTTGCAAAATGCCAGCCACTGATTCTAGGAGAGCAGGCTTGATTTTATGAACCCTTTATGATATTTCTACCTTTCTGCAACAGAATCCTGTTGCCACTGTTGGACTCAGTGAAATTTCACAGGAATCAGGAGCACAGCTGTGATAGATGAGCAATGCAATGATTGACTTTCACAATGAAAAGGCAAATATCATGTACAGATGTTAAGAGAAGTTTTATAGATTTATAGTTATGTGTTGTTTTTGGCAGTGTCCTGGGTTTGGGACGTTTTACAGGATCAGTTTGTCACTATGGCAGCACCTGAGCTCCAATCAGGATTTAAGGCAGGGAACTCCACCACTGGGCAGGGAAGGAGGAGTCAATGGACAGAGCTTTGGGAGGGGCTAAAGGGTTAAAAGGTGAATTCTCCATGGTGTGGGTGAGCACATGGTATGGAAAATCCTTTGCTCCCCATGCCATAATATTTTCTCTATCCAGTCTTCTGTTGTATTTTTGATAAGGTTTCAAGAAACCTTTCTAAATTTTTGGAAGTGAGTAGCAACAAACCACTGTTCAGGGCCTCATGACAGGAAATTTCCTGGCAAAACTCAGGAGCCAGAATGCAGCTGTGGATTCGATGATCATTTCCCAGCCACTTCATACATTGTACAGACAAAAACATCCAGAACTGCAGAGTGCTGGGACATGGAAGGAAGCGTGTTAATGGATGGCTGCCTTGATTAAACATCAGATTGTGTTTGTGTGAAATACAAAGCTGTGTTTGTGTCAGGTACATGCAGGCAATGTGTGTATTTGTGATTGTGGTGTCTGTGGAGACCGACAATGGGACACTTGTGGATTCTAATAATAACTGAGGAGAGTAAAGCATGGAAGAAGGCCTTTGAACCTGTCTTTTGTTTGCAGTTAACCTTGGTTGATTTAGGAGCATTTAATTAAAGCGTTAAGGATGTTGCTCTTTGCTTGTAGTTAAGCCTTAAAGAGTCTAAATAATAACCTTTTGAAGTATAATTTCAGAATATTGCTTGTGTCCTTGCAACTATAGCTTTGGAATATATAAAAAGGAAATATGCTTATCTAACACCTTAACAAAGCAGAGAAAAACAGCTTAAGAAAGGAAGATGAACATCACCTCAAGGATTTATGGTTTTGACCAAGGGAAGTTGGACATCACTGTTGTTAGATTTATAGTTCTTGCAATTAAAAGGTGGACCCACATCTGGGGAGCTGGATCCACCAGATGGGATTCGTCTTTCTTCTTTCAGAAACCAGACCAGCACCATCTGGGGATGCTCCTTTTGGGATACATCCTGAGAAAAACTAAATCACAATAGTGTATAGATGTAAAAATTGGGAGTAGAAACTGCTGATGAGTAAAAATTGGAATAGAAACTGCTGAGAAAGCTGATGAGTACCCCTATAAATACCTGTAAGCCTCAACTATGGGTGTGCAGTTGGAGGGAAAACTTCCCCCACTGCACCCTGCATTGCTCATACTTTACCATATTAATTAACAAATTGATTGCTGCTTGAACACTGGCCTAGTCAAGCTTCTGATTTATAACATTTGTACTTCTCCTCCTGCTCCTCAGACCCCGTGCACGGGCCGCAGAACGTGGAGGTGGTGGACATCCGCTCGCGGCAGCTGACGCTGCAGTGGGAGCCCTTCGGCTACGCCGTGACGCGCTGCCACAGCTACAACCTCACCGTGCACTACCAGTACGTCTTCAACCAGCAGAAATTCGAGGCAGAGGAGCTCATCCAGACCTCCTCCCACTACACCCTGCGGGGGCTCCGGCCCTTCATGACCATCAGGCTGAGGTTGGCTCTCTCCAACCCCGAGGGCAGAATGGAAAGCGAGGAGCTGGTGGTGCAGACTGAGGAGGACGGTGAGTGGTGGTGGGGTAGTCAGTGCAACTCACTGGAGGTCACCAAGCATGGTGGTGTTCACAGGGGTGCCAGGATGAGGGAAGAGATGAGACTCTTAACTCCATGTTTCAGAAGGCTGATTTATTATTTTATGATATATATTATATTAAAATGATATATAATTTACAATATACATACATACATGTATATATATGTATATTGTAAATGATATTATATCATTTACAATATACACATATAGCCTCACTAGGCTACCTCCTGCCAGAAGCATTGAAATGATGTATTAAAACTATACTAAAACAATAGAAGAAAGGATTTCATCAGAAGGGAGCAAGGAAAGGAAAGGAATGATAATAAAATCTTGTAGCTGCTCACAGCCTTGACACAGGTGGCTGTCATTGGTCATCAAGTAAAAACAGTTTCACATGCTGGGTAAACAATTCTCCAAATCACATTCCAAAGCAGCAAAACATGGAGAAGCTGAAGCTTCCCAGCTTCTCAGGAGAAAAAATCCTGGCAAAAGGAATTTTCCTGAAATATGTCTGTGACAGTGGGGTTGGTTGGTTGGGTTTGGAGGGAAAACTCGTCTTCAAGTTGTAAATAACAGCATAACCCTCTGTCCCACAAGACTGGTGCAGCTTGTCTGGACAGTGTGTCTGTTTTGAGTGTAAAACTTGTAGGTTTAAATGATTTCCATTTCACAGCCATGTTCTTGAAAGGGCAAAATTCCCTGAAGTGCTTGGGCATGACAGAGGCCAGCCTGAGAAGCTGTTAAAGAGCTGTAGGTTTAATTCTTGGTATTCTGAACCACACAGCAGCTTCCTTTGTCATATGGGCAAATGCAATCCTGGTATTTATTGATTTTTCCTGTGCCTTCACACAAAAGAAGGCATCCCACAAAATGTATAGTTCCTTCTTTTCCAGAGTGTAGCTTTTTCTTAAAGGTGATCTTCTGGACATCACATTTTATAGAGATCTCAGAAGCAAAATTAATTGTGGGCATAAAAGAATGGTTGTGGATATAAAAGAGCAGTTTTCTAGAGGAATTGATGGAAAGTTTAAAATGTTATTATCCCACCGGAGCTATTTCAGACCAAGGACTAAATTCCTCTGCCTGGGCTGTACAAGTTGCTGTCCTAAGTTTCTCTCAGCTGAAAGTGGCTCCTCTAGCCCCATATATCACATGGGGAGACACAAAAGGATGGCAGATAATTCAGAAAAATGAGCAGGGTTTTTATCAGACAGGCTTGGGAGTGCATTTAGTTGGTTATCTCCCACGGCATTAACACTTTGCTGGAGTAGGTGGATTTTTTTGAGCTGGCCTTGTAGCTGTAATGAAATATAAATCTTGCATTGTTACTTTACTAAGCAAATCAATCTCTCCTATGGATAAAGGTGTGCAGCCCCTTAGCATCTCCATGCCAAGGTGCAGTCTGGCTGTTTAGGTGGAGAGTTCTGCTGTTGTATGGGTGGAGAAGGACAAATTAAATTCCCTGCTGCTGCTCTGCTGTACTGGAATAAAATCATACTGAAATTAGCATTATATTTTCATGGATTCTGATTTTATTTGTCACATAGTGGTTACATTAGGGTATTGTTATTTGAACCAAAAGTTGAAAAATAAGCTTTTCACGTTGATAGTAGCTCGGTAATGGTAGCGCCTTGAGGGATTTTAATTTTTAATTTTATTTATTTATTTTTAAAACTCTGCTTCCTGTCTGATGGCCTTTTGGTGTCTCATGTGTGTGTAGCTGGAGCTGGTGGAGTTTTTAAGACAGTTTGTCTGGGTTCTTTTCCCCCTGCAGTGCCTGGACCCGTTCCCCTGGAATCTATTCAAGGAGGACCTTTTGAAGAGAAGATCTACGTTCAGTGGAAGCCTCCGAATGAGACAAATGGCATCATTACACTCTATGAGGTGAGAAGAACAGATTGTTGTCAGGGAATACGTGCCACAGGGCCCTCTTCATGTGTGTTTAAGCCAATCCTGAGCTCTCAGAGATCTCAGCAGGTGCTAAAAGAAGCCTGATTAAAATAGATAAGAAACTTCAAGATAGTCTGTTGCTACCACTGGAAAAGTTTCCCAGTTCAAAAAAGAGAAAGATTTCTTGCCAATATTTGTGGCAAATTGAGAGCCACACATTTCCCCATGTCTCAGGTGCCCTGTTTCCTTCTGCAGTAGCTCCAAGGTCTGTTTGCTTTTCTTTGTTTTCTTCATCTTGAGGTAAAACACTGCTAGGTTTGATACCTACACAGTGTAACTGATTCCTCTTTGCCTTCCACCTGTCACAGCACTTCTGGCAATATCAGCAGAATGCAACCATCAACTCTTATCTCGTTTTGAATGTTTCAATGAGAATATTTGTCCATCCCAACAATTTCTCTGATGACAAAGTAGAGCAGGTTATGGGGTGATCACTGACCATCCTGTGCTGGATGAGAAATAAGCAATTAAATGTGATTATAGAGTTTATCAGAGATGGTGTTTCTTGTGAAGTGTTGCTGCTGCCATGTGCTCCTGGTGAAACTCTCTATAATGTCATGTACACCCAAATATGTGGAACAGGAATGTAGGAGGAGGGACTCTTTAGGGGATCATATAAAATGTAATACAGTCCTACAAGAGAAGGTAAAGGAACTTGGATTAAATAGCAGAAAGTGGTGCTCCAGAACTGCCTGAACCCAGTTTATGGGTTCAGTGTTTACCTCTGTAAGATTAGAGAAAGTAAAAATAATTTTGTTTTTATGGTGACATAAAACCCCTCACTGTGGCTTGTGCAGCATTTTCTGACACAGAGGAGCAAGAACCAATATTTCACTCTCTCTTTTGTGCTTTTTGTACAAACTCACTTAGGAAAAGCCACAGTGCAAGAAGCACCTCTGACACTGCCCCTGCGGTTCTGCCCCTTTCCTCTTCCCATCCAGCCTCTGGTTTGGGACAGGATGTCCTGTGCTATGTCACTCCCAGATGTCCTTACTAGCACTGGCTCTCTCTGTCACAGTCACATGGGGAAAATGAAGCAGGTTTAACATCACTGAGATCTTATACAGCATGAGCAAAGGATGAAACTTTCTCCTGTAACTTCACTTTTAGGTCATCATTTGGCTCACAAAGGCCAGACTGAGTTTGACACAGCAACACTAAACAGATGAACAGAATTTCCTCTTGCTAATTTAGTGTCATTTCAGCCGTGCTGAAATCCTTTACTAAGTCTGGAGTCATTGTTGGTCACTGTTGAGACACTTATGGACATGTGTGCAGGGTGTAAATCATCTGTCAGTGCTGAAATAGAACTGAGCCTCCTCATTTGTGGTCTTTGAGGGTGCCTGTGTAAGGAATGAGGCTATAAACCTGGGTGTGTTTTCAAGGAATTAATCTGAATAGAATGTTACAAGTTCAATTTTTTCTGGCAACACAGGTGACCTATAACAGAACATATTTAAAATGACCCAAATCAAATGCTGCAAATGATGCAAAAATAACTCCTTTTAATTTTTAAAGAAGCAGTTTCTTACTAAAATATTGCCTTGGGCTCAGCTTGTTGAAAGGACCTCAGCAATCTGAGTAGCTTTTCAGGCAGAGCAGCTGCCTGAGACACTTTAATGCCTGCAGGGTTGTGATGCATCATGACAGTGCCTTTGCCCCTGAAGTCACAGCATTGCTCGAGTCTCAGTGGAGGCACAAACACATTTTTCTTTTCTGATAATGACTCTCTGCATATTTGGCAGCTGGAGACAAAGAGAAGTCAAGGTGAATTCAAACTCTTTCCTCTTCCTCCTTTTCCTATTCCTCCTCACCTCCAAAAGGGTGAACATCCGACTGCTAGAAGCACCATAAGAACCAGAGAGTCTGGAAGCTGTAACAGTGAAAATATTGTCCATTTCTGCCCCTTCTTCCATATGAAAATTCCTACAGGAGCTTTCCATTGTCCATGGAAGCCTGAGACAAATCCATCAGCTGGAGATAAAAATACAGGAGAGCAGTTGCTCAACCTGGAGAGGTGGCCAGGGCACTCTCAGGGTAATTTGCTCTGTTTGGAACATGGGGATCCATGCAGATGGAACTTACACAATTCCTGCACGCTGTCACTGGTGTCACTGAGAATTCTGCCCTGTCCTGGGAGATTCAATGATCTTCCAGTGAATTTACAGCTCTCTGGAAGCTCTGCAATTGTGTTGCTGTTGTTAGGGAGAAAAAAACCACAAAGGCCTGTGAGCATTCATTAAAGAAAAAAAAAACAAAACCAAAAACCTCAAAGTATTTATTAAGTATTATCACTTTATGAACTTCAGTTAGTGGTGTCAGGTCCTGCATTACACCTGGAGGTAGCTGGCTAAATTCACACATTAGAATTGTGCCCCTGAGAGTCTCTCAAACCCCTCTGGGTACAAACCCTCCTAATAAAAACAAATAAAACCTCACCTTCTCCTCCTAAGTCATAGTTCCCTCCTCACCATCACTATCACAATCTGTTTCATTGTATCTGGATATTGTATTTTCCCTCTAATTCTCTTTAAAAAAAATGTTATAAGCTTCTAAAATGCTTCAAAATAATCATGCTGTCTATTCTACTTACATCCCACTTGCTTCCCTTTGGGACTGATTTTCTTCTCAGGTCCCTAATCATTCCTGCAGCTCCCTGCCAGATGTCCCTATAACCCAAATTGCTGTTGCAGTTTTCATATCCACTGCTTGGGTGCCAACTGGGCTGGGATTCAGCAGCACAACCTTCAGCAAGTCTTTTGGCAGCCAGAAGCACTAATTTCATAATGACTGCATGCTCCTAAAGAGCCTAAACAGAATGGAAGGACCTTAATGAAGCTTTTTGACTTCTCCAAGTCTCTTCTGATGGGTATTTTTCCTTCCAAATGCTATTGCTGCCTTTTAACAAAGCAAGAGCATTGCATTTAAAAGTGGTTTAACCCCCTCTGTGTTCAGTTGCAAAATTAATTGTTTCACTGGGTACAGAAACAGCTGGATTTTTAAACAGAGGGACCTTTCAGATCCCTTGTAATTGCAGTTCTAGATCCTTCTCTAATTGCATCTCTTTCTGGGGAGCAGAAACCTCTTGTTCAAGACAACTTGGAAAGCTCTGGGAATTACAAATCAGGTAATCAGTGTGCTGGAAAGATGAGGATATGAGCTGGGTAGAAAGGGAGGATGGAGCAGATCATTCTGGGGTGCTGGGAGTGATGCCTTGTGAGGGCTGACCTGGAACAGAGACTGAACAGAGCTAAAGAATAAAGCAGGGATTTATTCAAAGCATCTCCTCCATGGATCCATCTTGGGCAGCACAAGAGCCCAGCCAGGGCTGCACCCAAGATGAACCAAAATGGCCCCAAAATGCACGGCCGGGCACGGGCTCTGTCCCTGGGATCAGTTCTGCTCCATTTGCATCTTGCAGTTCATTGTCCCATCCCAGCTTTAGCCCCTGCAGTCCCACCCTGCTTGTTTTTCTCTCTCCAGCCCACGGGGTTTGTGCTCCTGGGCTGAGATTTGGATCATTTGTCCTTGGTGCCCAGCTGGAGCAGGAATTGTTTTGTCTCCCTGCTCTGTGCACAGAGCTCACCATCCCCTCATATGAAGTCCAGACCCACACACTAAAGCAGCACAGAATCTGGAAAATATAAAAGCTCAAACCTGAGGGACCAGGGGAGCCCAGCAAAGCTCACAGGTTTGTGGTGAGACAGGAGGTGTCAGTCTGTCTGTCCATCAGGAAAGCCAGGGAGAAGCACAGCTGCTGTTGGAAGCAACAGAGGGAAAGCTTAAAGCCTCTAACAGGTCCCCAGGTGGCTTCAGGGTGTGTAGGTACCTACAGGAGGCAGGCAGACCAGTCTGTGCTCAGAAACCCAGCTGAGAGCAGAGCTGGGCTTTGCTGGTTCCTTGGTTTGGGTAAAAGGCTCCAGGCAGATGGTTCTGCATGTGACACTCATGGAAGAGGCACTGCTACACTGGTATTGTCCTTTGTCTCTGGGAGCAGCCTGTGAGAGGCACAATTCAGTAACATCTCAGTCATCCTGCCCCACCTTCAGTCTCCTGGCAGACTGAAAGCACCACAACTTGTTGAAATTTTTATTTTACGTTTTTTTAACCAGTCTTGAAAATCTGTTCTGCTTTAAAATCCCTAATAATCAAATTCTGCTCATTGTCCTCACACCATGTGGGAGTTCAGCTTCAAAGCCTTTGTGTACAAAGGCATGCAACAAAGATTTATTCCTTTTAATTTATTTTTTCCTAAGTGTGTGTAAAGTCAAACTACCATCAAACAGACACTGTCATTGGGCTGCAAGGGCAAGCAATCTAATTTAAGGTCATGAACCAGCTTTGGCAGTAAAATTCTTCTGCTTTTAGATGAAATGAGGTTGTCTAAGATGTATGTTTAGTGCAAACTTGCATCTAGAAAATTTAAGTAAACAAAATTTATTTATCTCTTCATTTTGCTGTTTGGGCAGCTGAGAGCTTTCAGGTGCATTCTCTAAGTGATGCTGGCTTTTGCCTTTGTAAATACATTTTTTGTATGTATTCTATTTCTCAGAATTGTCAGTTTTTGGAATATTTCACTCTTAAACAAGAAGAAAAAAGGGGAAACCCACCTATCACTGCTGTCTGAAGTACTTGTCCCCTTGCTTGGGGAAGGCATTTTTAGGGATATTGCAATCCTAACAGTATTTAAAGGGTGGGTCCCAAATATTCAGCTTCTTGGCTGGAAAAATGGCTCCCAGAGTGCTGAAGTCCTTTCAGTGAGCCATGCCTAAGGGCAATGTTGAACCAGCAAATTGTCTTTTTAAACATTGTAAGATGTAGTCCTGTAATCACTTATGTCCTCATCTTTAGGATTGTTAAATCCCTGGTGGTTTTGGGGAAAAATAAGGATGTATTTGCAGCTTCTAACTAGCTAGTTTTCTCAGTCACTGTTT